GTAAATAAAAATCAAACATTTACAAATGCTCTGTAATATCATGAATGAACATCAAAGAAAATAGAATAAACACCTTTATTCTTAGTATATTTTCTTGGATATCCTTTTGTTAGTGTATTATAAAGGTAGATTTCTATAATTTTATATACACATTTCTTATTAATACACTTTCAAATCCGCCTTTAAATATGCTTACGCACGTATTACATAAAATTTAAGCGATTTGCGAAAATGAAATCCCATTCTCATTTATGTAAATCAACGCGAATTCATGTACACATAACAGTTAGATTAGTAGACATTATAATTATAATTTACACTTAGAACATTAATAGGATGCAGGAATTGAATAGTGCAGCTACTAGGTGCAGGGTGCACGGCATTAGAACCAGCCATGAATACTAATATCGCCAATTCAACATCTGCATACATATCAACTTTAAGAGAACACGAAGTTTCAATTTCTCTATTCATGTGAAATACTAATACGTGATTTTTAAAAGTAGAATATATAAATCTATATATTCACTTACAGTAATAATTGTAAATGCGAAAGTGTATGTTTCTCTGTCTTTTATTTACCTTTTTTACGTTTTTATTTAAATTTCCTACGAATTTACATTTTCTAAGGTAGACATAAGCTAAGCATATAAACAAAACAGACGAAGTTGCATGCAATAACTGCATGGTTTAATATTAGAATTAAAACCCTAAGGACTTTTTTAAAAGATACTGTATTTATTAGTAATGCATTGTTACATGTAAGTATTGAAAGTGTGTTTTTTAGAAATGTTACATTTAAGGCTAAACACGTCATAGTTCTCTGTTTGTAAATTTTGGTCCGGTCTTTGCATACACATGAACATACTTCAATGAATAGCACCATATCCCTAAATTCTACATAGGCTGCAGCATGTCCACTACGACGAGATTTAGTAGGTTCTGTGTAAAAGCAAACCACAAATCATCCTTTACATACGAAGATGGACACAACAAGAACATATATCTACCTAATAGACATACAATTGGCTGTTTTGCTTTCATGCATAAAATGACATTGATTTATGAGATGAAGAAGCGAGTTCTTGGAGGAGCATACGCCACTAGTTTCCAGAGACGAGTAATTTCATTTTAAAAGTCATTAAGGGTACATTCCATTATATCCCCAGCGGGAACAAAGAGGTTCGAGACAATGGAGAAATATTCTGCCCCTAAAATGATACCAAACTTTTTGAATTGGAAGTGTCAGTCGATAATTAAACCTAATTTACTGAACGAAACTGCAATATTTTATAAATAATTCCAATTCATGAATTAATTCTATTCAATATATTAAAACTATCAAGACTAGTTCATATTCATTATCAAGCTAAAATGTATGAATCTCTTCCTATAACTTTAAACAGTGTAATTAAATATAATAATGCAATTTTTATACATAGATTATGACAATGAAAACACATAAATTTATTCCAGTAGATTTAATTATTTTGAAAATTTTTAAAAGAGCATTAATGATAAATAAATATTGATATATACTGAAATAGCCTTAAAGTTAACTTTATAACAGTATACATAGAATAATACTCTAGTTTTTTTACTTTAGTAATAGGTGAATAATTTTATTGACAAATAAGCACAAGTATATACTGGTTGAAAATTTGAATGTATGTATTATTACTATAAATAATATTTTTAGGGACTTCGTTTTATTACATACAGTACCATATATTTCTGCTGGATACACTAATTAGTACATTGTATTGCATCAACAAAAGCTAAAAAGTTACTTCAATTTCTAATACTAAAGATCCAATATCGCATTACTCAGATACAATCCAGCACACGCTGTGATTGTCAAGTTAAGTCTATATCTCTAAACGGTTGTCAGATTATTTACTCGTTTATAACTTTATGTGGTAATAAAAGAATGAACTGCATTTTCTATTTCTATCGTATATCATATAAATAAATATATAATAATTATTTAGTCCCAATACTTGTTCCAAAGGAAGTGGATACTGAACAATAATATTTGGTATCATAGTTTTGAACTTTATGTTATCCAGTATTCTTCGAGTCATTTTCAATCTTTAACATTTGGCACGTAGCCATAAAAGACTAAACGTATACATTCTGTTTATTGCGAAGTAAGTGTACCGGATAAAATAGCTATAGTTTATACAAATTATATAAGTGTTCAACATTACAATACATATAATTGTACTAAAAAACATGATTGAAATTTTTAATATGACTCCGAAAAAAAAAGTAAGTATATATAAGGTTCACATTTATTTTGAATATCATATGAGTTTTCACCCCATAAACACGGCATCCGATTACAAACAGATTGTGAAGCGATAAACAAAACAGATAACAACAATATTGTCCCAAAGTTATGTTCGAGCATAGAAATTCATGTTCCTTATCTCCATAAAGGGTGAACTTTGCCTGAGCAATAATTTACTATAACTCACAGCCTTGTTTTGTTACCTGTACGCTATTAACTTGATTCTCCAATTTCTTATGTCGTTTCGTAACTATCTACGTAAATATCGGCGGAATGTAGGAATAGTTCTGTAAATGGCAATAATTATATCAATCCGGAAGTTCCACGTTTCTTTTATCTTTGCTGTAATACCTATTTCATTATGTAAATATAACTTTTCTTAGTTATAGGTAAATATTTTCTATATTCCGAGATTATATACAAATTCTGCTTCATTAATCTTTTATTTATGTAATTTTATGTAATAATAACTTCCTGTAAGAATTTCCTGCTGTAATACAACGCTCCCACGCCTTCAGCTATAAGCACATATTATTTGTCAAATTATTTTTTTTATTGTTGGTAATCAAATTTTATTTTATTATCCTCGGCAAAAAATGATCAGCCCGAAAATTTCAGTTATCATGCAGTTTGCAAACTACCGGATATAGTATTATCCTACCTATCCACCTTTCGTGTTAAAAGAAAATATTAAATGTATGAACATTAAATATTTCATCTAAACATCTCCATGCACCTATAGCCACTGGTCATACTTTTTTGGTTAATTCAACCTATAATAAATTAATATTTGTATATATTCAAATACAAATCAAAAACGAAGTCGATTCGTACTCGTCCCTCATGACGCATAAAAGAACATAATTCATCCTTTTCGTCTATGGCGTGGGTATATTTTATAATCTACTCTACTAATGAAATTAAAAAAAAAATATTACAGTAATTCTTTACTCTGGTCAAATTTAATAACAATTATAGAATAAAATCAATAATAATTTATAGATTAACTGAAATACTTAAAGTATCTACTCTACGATCCAACTGATAGGTAGCTCTTTTAGTATTCTGTCCCATCTGCCCATGAAAGCATCCCTTGTTATACCAGAATCCGTAACTTCGGACTACCAACAAATCTAATTAATCCATGAAATAGCAGTAGGAAGTGAAAAATCGTCAATACAATTGCTGATGAATTTGTTACTAAAGCTGTCTAAATCTATATGTAAGCATCCCTTTTTATATTAGTATCCGAAACTTCGAACTACCAACAAATCTAATTAATCCATGAAATAGCAATAGGAAGCGAAAAATCATCAATACAGTTGCTGACGAATTTGTTACTAAAGATGTTTAGATATTAGCATATCTAAACATCTTTAGTAACAAATTGCCTGTATCTAATAGATACAGACATATTAGATACTACAACTCACTGCATGCATTGGATAATACCTAGTGGTCGTAGGGGATTGCGGTACGGTATTTTGCAACGACTCAAATCATATAGCTCTCAGAGCCTAAACTGCATGTATCAAATACATAAGGAATGGCAAAAAGGAAATAATATAAATGTAATAATAGGTTTCTTCTAACATTGTTTTGTTTCTCATGGCGCCCAAAGAGCTTGAAAATAGGTATACGTAACATTTGCGAAATATAAATATCATTTGCAATAGAAAGAAACAGATAGATGATATCTTATAATTATCGGTCAATAAATATGCGTATAATGTACGAGCAATTTCTAATCCATAATTAATGTTTTGATTATATTATATGATGGTTATAATTAGAATCGCATAAATAAAAGAATATTTTATATTTTTCATTAACATCAGGGTAAACATAAATAAGTAATTTGTAATATTTTGAGCATTACTATTATGTTATTATAATAATATTTAATATTAATACAGTAGTTTTATAATAATTTTCTTAGAATAGAATGTGAAGCAAAATCTTTAATTACTTAGCTTTTTTTGCGGCTCTCCAGTACTGCAGTAAATAAATAGACAAATATAAATAAACATCTCGAACTGAATATATTAAGCGTTTTCCGTCTTCGTGGGGCCAATAAAGCTGAACACTAAATTAGATTGGAGTTGATTGAAAGGAACACAAATTACAATGATTGGTTAGCAAGGCGGAAACTCCGAAGTTGGCTATTTTTTCTCAGAGACATTCGCACAACTGAGGCAAAATAACAGCAGTCCAAATTTAATATCCTACAATTACTTTTTGGTCTGACTAAATAGAATTTAGTTAGTATTTAAGAATGGTAGATATTTTTTATATTTCTCGATAACAGTTATATTCTAACAAATTAATTTTATTTGCTTTCGTGTGTTGCTGATTGTGGTTCCTCTTAATTTGCCATCTCTTTAAAGCTAATGGGGTCATTTGTCGCGGTCTTCCACAACTGTCCATTAAGTTTCCTGTAATATACGCATTTACTTAACAATGTTAACATTTTAGCACAACTCTTATTAGGAGCATATATACATACAATCTCTATTTCTGTTCATATACTTCTATAATATACAAGCAATTGTTTATGTATGAATTTAAAATTTGTGCATAAAAAATTACATACATAATAATAAAAATACCTTCAATATTTGTTATTGTTTGGAATATATTTTGCATGTGTATTGAAAAATTAATTAACTTATTTTTTTTTCTAGGTATTTGAGAAACATTCGGAAAATGAATTAAATTAATGAGTAAACAGAGAGTGAAAGGACTGGGAAGTAATGGGAGAAGACTTTCTTTAGGACGCATGTAACACACTGCTGCACCGATGTGGCTTGTGAATCATGAGTGCTTGGTGCTGCATCGTGATCATGATGTCCACGATCAGTACGAGCGTGCTATCACCAGCACCACAGAAAACTGAAGCTAAAGAAGCCTACGGTGAGTTATCTTTTTCCTGGATCATTTTAAAAACCTTTATCTTTAGAATTACTAACGATTTTGAAGGGTTTCTTGATCAATTGTGCTTTTATTAGGATATTAATCGATACAAGAAATTTTATTTGTATTTAATAGATATCTGTGTATACGAATATTATTAATAAGAGTTATAATTGATTCATACTATCTGATGGATCCCAATAGTATCATTACATTTATTTTATAGCTGCATTATTAGCTGCACTCGCGACTTCGTCCGCGTAGAATTTAACTTTATTTTTAAAAAAGAAAAGATTTTTCTAAAATAAATGGTAGCCTAAGTTACTCCTTATTTCATCTGCTACTTGCCAAAAATAGTTCCATCAAAATCAGTCCAGCTATTTCAGAGAAACAGACAGATAGACAAAAATTGTAAAAAAATGTTATTTTGGTGTATGTACCGTACTTTTATTCATATACATGCAGTAAAGAACGGTTATCTCCAATTTTATTTAAATGTATAGATCAAGGAATGCATGTAACGGTAGGTCACATTTACCTTATTATAAATAATAATTTTGTTTTATAAATTCTAAGTTTCAAATCTTTTAGCTAATATTTAATCATCATGGTATTATATAGTAGTTCTAGGTTTTACTACATATATACTTACTGTATTTATAGTATAATAGATACCCATTCGTATAGATATTAAACATTATATGTACCTATAGGTTTGCTCGCTCAATCGTCGTCTATCTGATCTATCGCTCAACGTTAGACTTACAACCTTTGATCGAATTAACCAGATGATCCCTCATCTCTATGCGAAACACGTGGTGCTGTACAAATGCAGATCATGGATTCACAAAATTAATGCCGTAACTGTTTCTATTTTGCATGCCTATTTGCTATCGTAAGTAAACAAGTAACTTAGCAAAAGCTTAGAATTTTATAAATGAAACCTAACGTATGAATCAATATATGCTATGTACATAACATTTTATAGTCTACTTTAATATTATTTTAATAGTCAGTACATACAATACAATCTAGATTTATTTTGATTGGTTAATAAAATAATCCTGCATTGTTAGCTTACATTTTTCTTGTTTTCTACTGTGTTATTATTTATACACAAAGCGGTATAAAGAGCATATATTTGATTTTAAACTAAATTAAAAAGACATCTTACATGAAATCACTAAAGTTATTATAGCTACATTTTTATTAACAAAGTTATTCTTGGCAAACTCACACAAATGAAGGAAAAGTCCAAGAATTATGAAAAAAAAAATGTAATACATTAGCAAAATTATTAGAAGCTGGTAGGTTAGACGAGTGACATCATCCATTACACGAAAAAAGCGGGACTGTGGTTTGGACGTGTTGACTAATGACTGGCGTAATATTAACAAACCGAATGGTCATATTATTATGTAGGTAGGATTTAATATTCATATTAAGGAAACATGTAAAATAGTACAAAGTTTTGTAAGTAGAACATACCGCCGGTCTAGGAGATGCTCAGTACCGCGAAAGTTTAGAAAATTGAGTTTTAATCGCATACATTTTCGTGAATTTGTTTTACATAAATTTATTCATATTCACATGAAACACATATATAAATACAGATACGCGCCTATATGTCAAGTTTGGTAACGGTTTGGAACCGAATTGGTAACGAATCTTTAACTGGTATAGTACTTAACTGGATAAGATTATTGTAATTTATATTATAAAGATGGTCAAAAGGCATTTATTTGAAGGCTCAAATTAAGGAGGTCTATAACATCATAGACGTTATGCAGGACCCCATGCTGATAATTACGTCTCAACCATCTGTAATTTGATGTAGACTTTTTAGACGTTTGTGTGGATTTACACTTGTAGACGTTTTATAAACTCCACTTTAAAAAAGTATATATTAATTTGGTACAATAATTATAAATATTTTGAACTACTTTATAGATCCTAAAAATGTAATATGTTATGTAATACTTTTATTTTGTTATATATATCCTATAATCGTATATAAATAACGTTTTTTTCCTCAGATCGTCACTATTGGTACGCACAAGCACAAGAAACGTTGCAGAAACGTCTTCAGTACGCGTCTGATAAAAATCCAGTTGCTAAGTAAGTACTTATGATTATCACATTACTTTTCATTTGGCTTTATTTCTTAAAAAAATACTAATCTAGTAAATAATATTTATTTTTTATTGTTTTCAGAAACACACATAAATATTATTATAATTGTAGTTTAGATTTTAGTTTCTGAGTTGATATCTCTGTCTCGCCTATTTCAGACCCTCGTAAGCAGAAAAACAGCTTTGTAAGCTGTGTTTTACTAAAGGTTTCATATAATAGTGCAATTACTGCTGAAGTAGGAAGGCAGAATATATTAGTTCTCTGCAATTGCAATATATAAAGGATATCACAGGCATCACGCAATGACATCTCTTGTTCTGTTCATATATAGATAATGGTTGACACTTACTATCTAGTGCTTTGGGAAAGGAATTCTATATAGGTACTTAAAATAAACTACAAAAATTAAAACTATAAGTAGTCCGTATTGAATATGTAATGGCAACTATTCATATATTAAATAGATACAGAAATATGTTCGTCTCTTTACATATTAAAATTTTGCTTCGTGGCCTTCCTTTGAATATTCCGAGGAATACTTAAGGGAACACCATAAATGTTAAACAACTGTCTAAGTTTCTAAGTTAACACAAACTTCAAATATGTTTTGGGATGATAAACATTGTCTAGTACATATAGATTTAAGTTATTGTTCCTAAATGTTGTTTATTGTATAGACAATCAAAGTCAACCACTAAATAGCTCAGAAGAAAATTATAGCTATATTACGTTTAAGCGTATATATTTAATTACAAGGATTTGGTTGGTATTTCAATTAGGTTTTTTAAGTTACGCTTTTTTTATACTCAAGGTCCATGCCCTTTTTTGTATTGTATTTATTTTTTCGTTTTGCTTCCTCCGCGAAAATAGGTGTTGTGGCTTCCCACAGTCAGGATTATCAGAATATGTTTCTAATTAGTCTTGGGTTAGTAAGGATAGTTAAATAGGTAAAGGGAGACATAGTGAACCTTATTGAAAATCCGTGCGCGAATTTTGTTAATCTATTAAAACACATGGTAAGACCATATTTTTGATCTTGTAAATTTATTATATTGTATATATCTTTCTATTTTTCATGTTGTTGTTCATTATTAATACTGCTGGTAAATCGGTGATATAATCTAGTAAGGTATTATCTACTAATAATATAATGTCACCGAATGGAGAGCTTTTCGGATAGCATTTTATATTGCGGTCTACTTAATGTAAAACGTTATATATTCACACAAGTATAACATTCTACTGAAATAACGTTTAGACAAAATTTTCTGTCGATAGTATTTCCAGAATATAAGATGGATTAGACATAAGAGAGGCGCAGTTAATTAGATATTTGAGGCATACAAAAACGCCCTAATCATGTAGCTTTAATTATAAGAAAGTAATCAATCAGGCAGTGATAATTAATGATAGATATCTAGGCTTTGTATGATACTAGCTGAGTCCGTGATATTCTTCATGACTCTTCAATTAAAAAAACAAAGAGCAATAGGTTTTAAACCACCAATAGGTATATAATAATATTGTGATGTAGTATCACAACATCATAATTTGACTCCTCCCATGTGATATGTGTGTTACTCGCGACAGTAGTTATGCTTTTTATACTAACCTATTTAATTTTGTTCAAAACTCTTACCTATTATTTTATTATAGTACAAGAAATACAGGAACATTTATTGTATGTCTGCGAATTTCTTTGTGTATTCCTAAACTCTCTCAAAATCAATATAATCAACTCAAAGCTCTAACAATTATATATCACAATGCCATTTAAATTGATACATGTGCATTCATTAGTAGCTATTTTGCTAGTTTGTCATAAATATTTTCAGATAAATAAATGAATCGACCTCTATATATATTGTAAATATCTATATATTTAATCAAGATTACCCATTTTTCAGTAAGTGGGGAGCTACTTGCTAAAACTAATAGCACTTTGTTAGTTATAACACTGTAGCACTTATGCTAATCAAATCAGCAAAATTTGTTAAAACCGTAAAAGTACACTTACTTTATGCTAATGTACGGTGCGGACAAAGTTTGCGCAGCAATGGAAAACGCGTACACATGTCAATAGAGTCGCATTTTCAATTAAATTGTGCAGTATTCTAAATTCTGTAGTATAATTATGGAAATGATATAAATATCAGTGCTAAAGAACTAGGATATTTTGTCTAAAAGAATTGAATTATTTCAATGAGACGAATTGAATATGCATTATTAAACAGTAAAATATTATAGGTTTTTTTTCATAATAATGTAGGTAAATACTTATTTATTTATAACAAACTAGGACATACTTGGCAGTAAATATGATTGCTACTTACTGCCAAGCTTTTTATTGTTATTAGTTTATTACGGTTAATGAAAATTGCAATATTACACTAGTAACATGTTTTTAGCAAAGAAATAATAAACAAAATAGCTAAATTAAACCGATATACATACAAAAGAAATGAAAATATTACTAATAAATACAACCAACATAATTTGTTTAATTTAAGTTTAATTCAATAAGGAAAAAATATATAATATTTTATGTATAGCGTTTCAATATGCATAAGTAATATGATTATTGTTATTGTAATTTCTGATGTTTTGTTTTAGGAATATCATCTTAGTGGTGGGAGACGGTATGAGTTTGACTACTGCCACAGCAGCCAGGATCCTCAGAGGGCAGCGGAGAGGCCAGTCTGGAGAAGACACCGACCTCGTATGGGACACATTCCCCGCTGTCGCACTAGCAAAGGTATCTTAAAACTTACTTACTAACTAACTAACTAACTTAGTTGCAGTAACTCTGGATTTTTAGGACTTTCGGTCAAAAATTATGAAATCACTGTACAACTGTATTATTTACACAAAGTATAAACTTCAATGTATGATTAAATATTTTAAATAGAATAATCTCATATTTATTTATCGCTTCTTTAATTATCTATCAATTTCAAAGAGTTCTAGCTACAGATTAGGCGGTAAAATTATAGTGATATATTAATAATAGTGTTATACGTAGTATATTGCATAATTATTTTCTTAATTCGTATAGCAACGTGAAAAGCATTATGCTTTGCGTATCTATAAACGTCCATTAGAATTTTGTAGAACATGTAGTATTTAAATTCAAGAATGAAGTTTCGACAACTCGTTATCACTAATTTTAATTAACTGCATTTAAAGTCATAAGGAAATGTTGCTGGCCCACTGTAAATTAATTCATGGAGTTATTTATTACTGGATAAAAAGTAATATATGTAAATTAAACCGAAACATCGGAGTTAAACAAACAACGAACCAACATAATTACTTTAGAGGAACAAACGAAGTACCGGCTCCAAATTTATCATGTTTATTAGATAAGTAGCTTATTTTATATTTTCTTACGAGGTCATGTATAATTTTTTTTTAATACGAAATGATTTAAACAGATTTTTTTTATACATCTATTTTTAAAAATATCTACTAGAATAATAACGGGAAAAAATATAATGGCTCAGTTTCCAGTATTTTACATTTATAAGAGTATTCGTATTAAATCAAAAATTATAATAATATTTAATTTGTTCGAAACTAGGATTACGTAGATAGACTTATTGAAATATCAATTAAAAATTTATAACCAAAATTTACGACATAAGAACTTTGGGAGATGAATAAAATTTTATAACTTTGTCTATAAAATTATGCCTTATATTAAACTTATTAAAACTGGTCTCTATATATATTAGAAATTATATATTTTAATATAGAGTTACTATTTAAGGATTGGAGAATACCAACTGAATTTAAATTATAAAATTAAATCCAAAATCATGTCCAAAATATAACTTATTTTAAAATAAATATTTATTTTATCTTTTACATCAATTCATCTATAATTCTAAAAATAGTAAAAGTCTTTTTTGCTTTAATTCTCATGGAAAGTGGCAACTAACGATTACATAGGTACATGAATATAACCAATGAACTCACGTCATCATTGACGCCCTTAGTATTCCAATAATAAATAAAAAAAGTTAGTATATTAAGTTTAAAATATCATATAAACCAATTTTTCGTTAATGGAAAGTACGAGGAAAGTTTTATTATAAAATAATTGAAAAGTGACATAAACATAACGCTTCACATCAAACGAAACTTTCTTGTGACGAAAATTCTGTTAACTTATTATTTTGATCTAAAAGACTTTTTTACTTCCTTGATGGTGCTTTTGAAAAAGTTGATCAAATCCTATTTTAAGATTAATTGAATAAACAGATAGATAAGATATATAAGCTCGCTATATTCTGATGCTGATAAATATAATAAGTTTTAATTTCAAGATTCAAAACACAAATCGCATGCCACAAAGCGAAACGCCATCAGTTATTAATTATTACTAAACGGCGAATGAATAAAGGGAAATCTCAGAGAATAAACAAACGAATTAATTTATAGAATCGTATTATAACAATACTGTTGTAATTCGTAATGTTTATGTTTAAGAAGCTTTACTTCCTCTAGGGTCGAGTATTAAATGCATATTTCTTTAAATATTTTATTTATTGTATTTCAAAAATACTTCTTACCATAATAAGTTTTTTTTTAATATTATACAAATTCATCATAATATTGTTTATATTAGGCATATTATATTATATTTCAGAATTTAGATGGAGCGTGTAAATACCAAGGGGCCCATTCCTTATACTCATTATATGTGCCAATAGCAAACTTTGGAAATATTAACGAACATATAGAACGCAAAACTTTATGTATACTATTGATTACACCACACACACACACACACTTACCCTACTGTGACATTAAAAATAGATATATACGTATATATATATATATATATATATATATATATATATATACGTATTTCGAATAAAGGTAAAGCACGATGGTAATTATCATTTATTATCATTAAAACCCATAGATTTGGTTTTATGGAGAAATCTATTTTGTACGAAAAAAAATCTACGCCATATAATATTATACGATTAGGTTTGTTGGTTGAAAAAAATATCAAAAAATAATTGTCTTACAGTAATTAATAATACGCATCCATTTTATTTTATTTTTCCAACCCATAATCCTAATGTTTAATGGATATCTAATAGGATGAGTTTTGTTATCATAAACTTAAGTAGTTAATTTATAATAAAAAAATATCGTGAACTATATAATATGTATATTATAGGTATAACCTCGATAAAAATTATTTCTAAACAAAATCGATGAAACCAATTTTTTCGTCTGCCGTAAAAAGCAATTAATACCATACGGGCTTTTGACAGGCGTGTTTAAATCTATATTTGAATTTAATTAAAATGTGATAGAAATTAATATCTTGTAATATATATTGTGAGATAGAGTGTGATTTTTACCTGTAGATTAAACATAGTCTCATAATTGAAAATATTCGACGGAATACGACTAGGACTTTATTAATAACTAACTAAGCCCGGGATTTCGTTCACGTATAATTTGTTTGTTTAAAAACCATTCAAACATAACAAACACAAAATTTTAATTCACTTAAAATTTTGATAAAAATATTCATAAAAAAAAGATGAGTTTGTGTTATGGGTACTAGACAACTGTCATCAGTTGTGTATAAATCATAGTTAAATTATAGAAATAAATAAAATCGCCATGATGATATTTTCATATCACTCTAATTATGTTTTTTTTTTCATAAAACAAATGAATGTAAGTGAAGTTACGCATTTGAAACTAAAAAATACAAGAGATTGTAGTTTTGAATTTCGAATGCGTAAGTTGTTAGTATATCTACATACGTATATACTTACATAGATATTCTATATATACATAATATATATTGAGAAAACACTAAATCCAATACAAAAATACACTTGTGAATACAATTTTTTTTACCATGCGAGGGATTGATCCCGCGATCATCGTAAGTAAAGCAGTATATTAAACTGCTGTACCGAGGCCTTCAAGTAAGACCTTAATGGCCGTCAAGGCATATAAGCCTCTAAAATATGTCGGTTTCATAAAGGCACAGACGTACAGATCAACAGACAACAATTTTAACAATTGTATTAATTAACCACTAGTATTTTTTATTATATATCTTTTACTTAGATGCATCATGCATCATCATATATATTTATATTATATATACATATCATTTATATAAATTTTATTAGTTTTGTCAGTATGTTATATTTTAATTTTAAAAATAAGTCTTAGTAATTTTGTAAGCACCTAAACGAATAATTTATTTTCTTACTGTTTAAAAATACGACGATGTATCGTACGAGCTATGGCCGACACAAATTTGACAGAAATCGAAGAATATTCATATTTAATGACATAAAATACTGACTTATAAACCCTTATCGAAGTCCCTGAAAGTACCTTCTTTCTATAACATGAAAAAGTACTCCGTAGCAAAAGAATAATAATATTACTACGGAAACTCGATCTTTAATGCACGTGGCTAATAAAAACAATATTAAAACTACCTATATTTTATATTAGGGCAAATTAGTAACATCGCTAATAGCTAAAGTTTTGTAATAACTAATCTTAGGTAATCTTCCTGTTTTTATCATTACTTACTTACATTTAATTATGAAATAAATCTAATATGGCAAGTTAGCTAAAGTTTGTTGTTAATTGTTTCGTAGTGTAGTAATGCTATTTATGTTTATATAGTAGTGCTCCATCCAGATTTAATCCGGGTGCTCATAACTTAGTGAGTTTGTAAATATATATTAACACAACATATAACTTATGTCGCTATATGAAATAATGTATCTTTCGAACAATGATACAATTTCTAAAATAGTTTTATAAATTCTGCTTAAAATAATAATAATAAAATTCGATATATTAATATAAACTATTAAGTAAATAAAACAAATTGAAATTAAATTGTGTTTGTTAGTACTGTAACATTAATATGTTATCATAAACTTATTTTACCCATATCGCATCTTTATCACTATAATTTTATCTTTATAACTAATAATTTTCTTCCAAATACAAATCGTTCAGTCTGCCCCTGTGGATTTTATAAGCAGCTTTCCCTGTCAAAAACATCGCCACAAAAGATCGGCGCCGTCGATAAAATCCATCATCTCGAACTTTTGGACTGTTTTCAAGCAGCTTTTTTATTATTTTATCCCATTTAAGTACGCACTTTTAAAATTACATTGTAATTTGACGTTGTCACAAACGGCTGTCTTTAGAGCTTCGCGCATACTAATATTTACCGAATAATTACGAATCCATTAATAACAATATTTGTGTTCTTTTACGATAAGTATATTAGTCTTTACTAACTAATTAATTTATTAATTTTATCTAATATTATACTCCAGAAATGTCAGAATAAACAAAATTAAATCAATTGTTAATTTGATTCCTATCTAGTACCCAATTGTAACGCGATTTGGCAAACACATAGGTTGGTCATCCGAACACTGCAACTATATGTATCAATGTATAAACCAGTTATTTTTATATTGAATAATGTACATATTTTTTGTAGGCATTATTTTATTTTTTATTTTTATGTTACATAATACTAGGGTAATACTATTAATGATACTACTTGGTAATTAGTCTAAATATCATATCAAACGACTACTACACACCATCTACAAAAAAATATACAGGCAGTCTAAATTAAGAAAATATTATCACGGACGAAGCTGTAGTATAGCAATGGGTATCTTTTTGTATTCTACCTCTTACTTATAAGATACAAGTTACATTAAAGTTTATAAAAATATTTATTACACTTATTCTCTTTACACTTGTCAAAGTATGAAAATTTATATTTGGGTAGGATATCCTTGATTATCTTAAAAGATACTTACTAAATTAAACTAATTCTGTTTACATTGTCCACAGACATACAATCTGGATGCTCAAACTGGCGAGTCGTCGGCGTGTGCCACTGCGCTTTTATGTGGAGTTAAGGCCCGATACGAAACATTAGGCTTGGACGCCGGAGCTCGTTTCAATAACTGCGCTACTACCATAGATTCGAAAGTTACATCACTTATAGATTGGGCTCACGAAGCTGGTGAGTAGGTACTATTCGTATAAAATTATTCTCAGAATTATAATTTAAATACTTTTTTTTATTTTCTTCTAAATATTATTCAAATTACTCAAGAGACTGCTGATTCCTAATACAGCTATAATAATATGTCTGCTTTATAAATATATATATTCTTATTCTATATCCATCTGGTATTATAATATATATATATTATAATACCAGATGAGATTATAGTTTTGGGGATGTATATTTAGTATAAAGCATTTTGTCGACGTTGTGTGAAAGATAAAATTTTTGTAAGGAGAAATAAGAATTAATAGAAGTAGGATTAGTTTAGTATTTTTCGCTGTTTTCCATTATCAAAATATTAAAAGTTTAAATTTTACATTGACATATTTGAACTCTCAAACTTTAGGGTCTGTAGGTAAGTAGTACTGGTACTAGTAAAATTTATACTTGACTTCTTTTAGGTAAACTGATTGCAGAAGAAACTGTATTGCAATAGTAACATATTTGCGCAATTGGTAGCAATAAATATCACTCTCTTGCCAATATTTGCTGTGAAGTAAATTTTTACTTAAATTACATAGGCTTTTGTGTTTCAGTCCACGCAGTAAAATCACTGACGCGAGAGTTATAACACTTTACTTCTGTGAAGGGTATTCTGCGTTATGTTAATAATTTTGTTCATGTCTGTAAGTGGAGGTTTCCATATTCTATGAGATGAGACTGAGTCTGTTTATTTGCCTTGTCTAGCGATATAAAATGAAACACTGCAGTCGTATTAAAATAAAATCATAATAACACATATTGTCTTATCATGATTTTATGATGGTGATCATGAAAGGAAAACTAAGTTCTTTTTTAGTTAACTTTTTTTATATATAACTGTTTAGGAGTTTAGTAAGGACATTTACTATTACATAGAGACTATAATTTCACAAAAATGATATCTTGAAATATATTTACATACACCAATATTAAAATAAGCAGAAATTTCATCAGAAATCCAGTCATCTATAATTATGAATAGTAAGATTTACAATTATGCATATTAATTCAAATGAGTCGCTATTCCTGGGAAATTAAGTGCACTTAGTGATGTCTTTTCTCACCCTTCAATTCGCAATACAATATGCAAGGGGCTTAGCTTATCTTAACCTTCTTAGGTTAAGATTGCCCCGAGTCACGTCGCTAGTGCCTGAAAAAATCAATTATGTAGAGAGCGGCGAGCCACCATTAAAGCAATCAAATTATGTAAAGAAAATAATGTTTGCATAAAAAGAGGATAGATTGGGTATTCATCACTTAAATCAAATGACCAGAAGAAAAGCGCTGAGATATAATTGTATACTAATGGATGAAACTCTATGGCGTATACTCTTATTATTGTTTAACAACCTTGATAACAGTAGTTTAGTACATATTCTCAATATACGATAGTTCGATTTCTACATAATGTGATTTTTGATTACATGAGAAAGTAAGTACATTTACAGAAGATATGTATTTATAAAACACCACAAAACAGCACACCGCCTTTCTTCCGATGATCATGGATTCGATTCCTCGCACGATGAAAACATTTATGATGTATTTTATGTAGGAATTAAAAAATATATTCAGTATTATAAGTTTTCTAGTACTCATAACACATACTTTGATTAGTTTGAGACTAGATGGCATTGTGTGAGTTTGTCCTTGCATCCATTATTATTATTATTATATAATAATATTTCTACAGGCAAATCCAGTGGTATAGTGACTACTGCAAGAGTCACTCACGCTACACCTGCAGCTTTATATGCACATGCACCATCAAGATATTGGGAGGATGATAGTAGAGTACCGCCAAATGTCAGAAAAGACTGTAAGGATATTGCAATGCAGTTAGTAGAGAACGAACCAGGAAAACATATAAACGTAAGAATTATTTACTTTATAATGATATTAGACATAATTATACGATTTAAACTATTGACCCACAAAAAGAATTAGATAAGAAACAGCCAAAATTAATAACTATTGCCTAACATACAAGAACCATTGTCGAATTTAAAACTTCTTTTTACAGTCGGTAAAGTGACCGACGAAAGCTTGGACTGTCTTATAAATCTCGCAACCATTCTATTCCGAAAGTGGAAATTGGCTTCATTCCAAATAAATGAAATAGCACACATTACTACTATAATAAAAGAACAATTTAGATTTGAATTTAGCGACTTTTAAAGGATCCCCTTTTTACAAAGATAAGCGTAGATTAAAAATTAACAGAGCCGTCTTTTCATAAATTCCTTAGAGATTGCTAAACATTCTTTTTAGACTTACCCAACCTCAGATTATTTTAATTTTAGCCTGTAGAATTATTTATATTTCAATTTTAAAAGCATAGTTATGATACTATAGATATAAAATAATCATATTTGGAACATGTTAATAACTAAATTTATGTCCAACCTTCAGTTGTTTTAATATGGGCGTATGACAGTTGGTTCTTGTTGTACATGCAATTAACAAACTATCAGACTGATGTAACTTTTATACTCGTACTAGCTGTCCGGCAATAATTGTTCTGCCATATAAATTAATATCATTATTAAAAAATAGAAGTTGGTAGAAGGGTGAAAAAATAAATTCAGGTTGATCAACTTTATCACTTAGGGTGATTACAAATAGGTAACTATCTATTCTATGACCTATCGAGTATACCTATACAGTTTCATCAAAATCGGTTATGCCGTTTCGGAGAAGTGTGGCAAATAAATCTGTGACACGAGAAATTACTATAGGTGGTGTCTTTATTCGCGCTAAGTTTTTATTTCAATTAGTTATTTAATTGTTCTTGTTTGTCTTCACTGAATATTAAATTTACGAGTTGGAGATGCAAATTACCTAAAAACAAGTATTTTAGTAAAGTGGACAACTTTGTCCAATAAGATTTTAAGTCGAGTTGTAGTTATTCGGTAAGTTTGTGATGTGCACATCGTTTACACAGGTGTGCAAGATGTTTCGGAGACAGGTGTTATGTTACCGTCGTCCATTATATGTGTGAAGTTTTCAGATATTTATTTGCCTCTGGAGCCATTTAATGGCACCTGTACAATTTTAAACATTGTGTATCAGAATATCTAGGGTGTATAAGAATCTTAACTAGTACTTCTATAATTAGTTATTTTCTGGTATATGTCCATAGAATGTGAGTATAGTAGGATGTGGATATGCAGGGAAATATTTAATATATGAAAATGAATAGTTTTAATTATATAATAATACATAAGTAAAAAAATCTGAGGTTATCAAAATATGCAATTATTCTTTTTATAATAGGGGTATTTTATTTTAACAAAATAATTTGTAATTTATATAAAAATAAACTTCATAGAAATTTAAAAGATTACTCGTACTACCTGATTATCATTGGAATAAAATATTGTTAGGTAATTATGGGTGGTGGAAGACGACATTTTCTGCCAACAATAACACCAGATCCTGAACACCCGAACCGGGAGGGAAGAAGATTAGATGGACGGAATCTCGCTGAAGATTGGGCCAGAGAAAAGAAGAGGCGGCGGTTACGAGCGCAGTATATACATTCACGTGAACAGTTAGCCAAGCTTGATCCAAGATCAGTGGATTACTTGTTAGGTACGTTTCATTATTACTTATTTCATATTATATATCATTTATGAATTTACATGTTGAGAAAAGTCAAATATAGTAAAAATATATCCATATATTATCACCTATCACTATTATAGTACAATATAATAAAATTTTATGAAGACGCATTGACCATTGATATAACTGTCGACATCAAAGGTTATATTTTAATTATGATAAATTATTATAGTGTTTTGTTCAGTAGGTGTCTCTTTGTAATTTTATAATCTGTAGAAACATAGTTCCGCAGTATTTCACAAATGTTAATGTACAATTTAAAAATAACACTTTAGAAATTAAAAGTGTTCAATATATGCGTATGACGGAGTTACGGTTAGAATATTTTGAAATCAGCAGATTTATTCCACAGTTATTCTGTAAGATAAAATAACTGAAACAAACTATAATATTAAAATCAGCATATCGTCTACTCTTGCTTGTTATATACAACTTAATATAATAGACATTCCTTTAAGTCCATTAAGTTTCCTACTACGATTCTATAATTCTATAATATTTGTATGTTTTTAAATAATGGGCAAATTTACTGTTATCTGCGATCGGGTGTATCTCGTGCATTTTCTGGAAATATTAACTGGGAGAGAATGCTTCTGCTATAGTTCTTAGTCAATAAATCAAATAAATAACAAAATAATATACAGTATTCTTTATAGAGATATATATAGTCTAAAGTACGAATTATAAATGTCTCACTTTTTTAATAAGTGTATCCAAGCGGTAGACCATTAAAGAAATACGATCCTTTGTGCTTTTGTTGGGTTTTGTTAAAGGGTTGAAGCTTACTCAGCAATTTAAGTATAAAACGGGTTTCTGTTAGTCCACAGTCCACTTTGGATGGAATGAAAATCACCATTAGCGGGGCTTTTTCTCTAGATATACTAGCATTTTTTGTTTAATTTGTAATGTAAAAAATATATTAATTATATTTTTTTATATTAAAAGATGTCCGTGAAAGAGTAAATTGAAATTGTGCATAAATATTTGTATACTTTGTTATATATAACAAAGTAAAATTCCAACATTAATTTTATCTAAATATAAATTAAATTAAAAAATTATATATAATTTTTTAGTATATAAAATTCTCCTCTCCAATAAAACTGTATAATAATATTACTGTTGCTCTGTATTACGTTGTTTTTTATTGATACTACGTATCTATATTTACAATTGTGTATCATCATATACACAACATACATATATAAATACAGACTATGTCTCATATAGATCAACTAGTAGCTCAATTTTATCTCAATTAAGTTATTCATTTATGTCTTGTTTTTATTTATTTTTCCACTTAAATTCTGTCTAGCCATTTCGAAGCAATTAAATTTTAGCGAGAGTTAATTAGGCAAATATGCAATTATTTTTGAACAAAAATTAACACGAAGCGTGTTTTCTATTACAACGTCCGTGTGTTTATAAAGTTAAAACACAAATAAAATTTACTGAACAGTACAGAACAGTACTGAACAGTATTTTATATATTTTAAGATACGTATAAAAGAATCATTTCTAATTATTTACAATTAAATTAAGAAGTAACAACGAATAAAAAGTAGGCCAGAAGAAGGGTCCTTGATTCAAACAAAAATTTTGGCTAAAAAAAGCTGTGAGCTTTTCAAAGAAACCTTTTATAATTCGGCCAATATGACGCTCCAGGTCCATTTGTTAATTTAAGTTTGGACCGTCATTGCTAAAAGTTTATCGAGTTTATAGGATTTATATTCCATTTCATACTTAATGATAGATTTATTTTATGCTAAAGCGATTTCAATAATACTAATAAAAATAATTCGTTCACTGTACCTACACTAAATTAAGAAAAAGTAAAGTTTGTGAGTTTGGATGTTCAGGATAATCTACTGTACTCCTGTTCAGATTTCAATGTTAGACAGCCGATTAGTCGAAGAAGGTATAGGTTATATTACATCACGCTACAACTAATTGAAATAGAACTGTAGTAAAAAATATTGCAATAACGGGGAAATTGAGACTCAGACAAAGATGTGTGTTTCAACTAGTATAATATTTAAGGAATTTTCACGTGGGTAGAATTTAGGGTAATAAGAATATCTGCTTTTAGCGGTGTAGTTCCCAACAATGACAAGAAAGGCCGACAGATAAAAAATGCCTTTCGGCGTCGCCGTTGTGTCGGCTATTGTAGGTACACCTTTGTACAATCAAGGTGAATAAAATACGCAAAACAACCTATCCTTCTTTTGTGGCCGTTTTGCCGGAAGCCTTACTGTTTTGTTTTGGATCTTCCCATTCGTATGTTGGAGTGTTCAGCTTTACGGAGCCTACTACATTTTCTGAGTTTACATTATAATCAAAACGGCGCACCTTTGTAATTCCCCTTTAAAATCCTTTTAATCTGACCCATGCTATGTAACGCTTAAGTTTGAAATGCAAATATTAAGGATTAACACTTAGTACTTACATTTCTAAAATTACGTTAGTGTTAATATAAAGTCAGGAATTCAGACAAAGTTTTTTGTGTTGGGTCTTATATACAATTTGTAAAATATGACTGATTGCTTGCTGCCTGGAAAATATACGAGATAAATTATTGTTCAAGAATTTTATCTATCAAATGTATAGAACTGAAAACAATGACTATGTTAGAATTTGTGTCTATTTGTCATGTAAATGTGACCGCTAATCTCAGAAATTGCTTAACAGATTTGTGTGTGGTTTTTGCTAATATATCGTTGTAAACATCATGTTGTTTGTTATCAGTTTATAAACAAAAATTTATTCGACATCGGTGGCTCAACTATTTTTTAGTAAAGTTTAATCCAAAAAGCACTTTCTTGTTTAACTACACACTTGCTAATATCAATAATAAAATAAGCTATCTATGGGTTTATATAGTTTTATCAATACCAGTATTCTTCGTACTGGCCGCTTGAAATCCCCGGCCTATGTTATTCAGTGATAACTTAACTTCATTAAAATCAGTCAAGTAATATTTAATTTATATAAAATCAAATCAAATCAACAAATATTTATTCGTGTAAGTCCTTTCCGCCCCTCTTGCACGTCATAGTACAGGAAAATATAATATTGTCACAATTTTGAATATAAATATGCAATTTAGTATGGCGCTTACTATCAAATATTTGACAGGTTTATTTGAATATTCTCATATGGAATTTAATGCGGAGCGAGGTGCGGTAGCAGATGCGGAAGAGGGCACGTCTGCTGGATCAGCGGTGAAGGCTGATGACCCATCTTTGGCAGATATGACTAGAGCTGCATTGTCGATATTGCTGAAAAATGATAAGGGATTTTTTTTACTAATTGAAGGTATGACTACGGAATCGTTATAATTTCAGATATTTATTAGCTGCAGTCAGTAGAGGACCTAAATAGAGCCATCTATATTCATTACCTTCTTTCATTTTTTAAAATAAATATCAGACAGTATGATGTGTATTCGTACACTTAACAATGATTTAACTTTTTAACTCACATTTTTTAACTAGGACTGATTTCCTCTTATTAATTGTTTAACAAGTTGGTTGGGTATTCAATATTTTTTTCTATTTGAGTATTTAATTGAATTAGTGCTAATTGGTAGTTTGTATTCACACACTTAAACTTAAAAATGTAAAGTAAGAATAAAATTATTTAAAAAAGAGCAACAGGCAAGTTTCTTAGAACTGTAGATTAAAAAAAATGTGATAACCTTTCAAAAGTGTTTCAATGTAAGTTCATTTGAATAAATGATTTTGTATTCTATTCTATTTAAACAACTTGTATTTCTTTACATTTCTTCAATTGCTACTTTCATAGTAATATTATAAAATAGCTGAACAGATTTTAATGATATTTAACATAAAAATATTATGTATGATGAGGACGCCTTTAGGATATGTTTTATCTCAAAAAATAATCTAGAAAGAATGAAACCGGGGATGATTTTATAAAGATCAAAGTTATGAATAACATCTAGTATTAATTAGAGCAAAAAGTTTTTAAAAATGTATAAGTATAATATGTAGAGTTATAACAAAAATTTACAAGTAATTTTAAAAATAATTTACATTTACGAAAAATAATAATACGTCAATTATATTCATTCGTCTGTTCACCAACTTCAGAGCATTAATTCAGGATTTTTGCGTAAAGTATCATTGCTCATGTAAAATTCATGCGATAAATACATTACTTTTTATGCTGCTTTTAATATCTGGAAGACGATGAAAGTCATAATGTTTTTAATTTTTACAGGGGGTCGTATAGACCATGCTCACCATTACAACAATCCGTATAGAGCTTTGGATGAAACTTTAGAATTAGAAACAGCTCTCTTAGCCGCTTTAGAAAGAGTTAATCCAACCGAAACTCTAATTGTGGTTACAGCTGATCATGGTCATGTTATGACTTTTGGTGGTCAAGCTACACCCCGAGGACATCCCGTACTAGGTAAATATTCTTTCGTTCATTTTTTAAATAAACTATCCATCATACTTACAAGGTTGTTTCTTTAATTTTGATAATATTTAAACACAAATTACAAATGTATGATAACATTATGTGTGATAACCTTAATTTAGACACGCATGCCTCGTATTGTATCGTATTGTTTTGTATTGTATTTAATGTTACCCATGTTCTAATTTATTATTTTAGTCGTAATATTCAAAATATTTACCACTGAAATGTGATATTTTGCTTTAATTATAAAGCTAATGTTTACTACATTTTCATTAAGATATTACGTTTCATTTATTTAATTTATATACAACCGAATATTTTGATCTCTAAGGTGCGGACACAGTGGCTTCCGATATCGATGGCTTACGGTACACGACGCTTCTCTATGGGACCGGTCCAGGTCACTCCGAGCCAAGGGCTCTTCCAGTAAATTCAACAACTTTATACCCTGATGCAGTGCACGCTTCTGCTGTACCAAGACAATGGGCCACGCATGGAGCTGAAGACGTACCGGTTTATGCTTTAGGTTCTTATTTTGTATTTTATTTAGGATTAATTAATATTTTTAGTTAGTTAACTTTTGACCCCATTATTCGACTTTCGGCTCTAGTACTCACTGCAAGCACTGATAGGAGAGATTCAATATCTCTCTAGGCAAACTATAAATTAAGAAAACTTAAGACTAGAACAAACTCAATTTCTAATGTAAATCAACCGTAAGGTTCTTGTCTATCTTTCAGCCGCATTAGTGGAACATACTATACTCGTGTTGAGAAAAAAGTACTTAAGGAGATAAAATTTTCTAAACAGCACTATTATGTGGTCCACTACAGATTATATCTATATCAGATACCAGCTCTTCATATCAGTTCTTTATTATAATAACTTTTTTAAATTCTATTGGCAGATTTGAATTATTTTAAGTACCTACATTACAACCTAATTGATATCGAAAATCCAATAAGACTTTGTTTGAGGAGTAGTTAAAGAAGATTCTATTTCCTTTGTAATGCCTGAATGTTGGAAACTTATTGTATACTGATATTATGACCAAATACAAGTACATAATTCGTATTCTAAATTTCAGCTAAATTGTTAAATAAAGGCTTATAAGCCTAAATGAGTAATAAGATTGTTGTTTCAGGTCCAATGGCAACGATATTATTTACTGGTGTTGTAGAACAAAGCTATATCCCACATGCCATAGCTTATGCTGCCTGCTTCGCTCACCAATCAAGACGGTGTCAAGTAAAGGCGAACTATACGCAAACGCCGGTAAGAAATTATATATTAGTAATTATCTATTAATTTGATTTATGTGACTTATAACACGTAGTGAATATTTAATCACGCATCCTATATAGGTCATGCACACATTGGTCCAAACTAATATTGTAAAGGGAAGAATAGAGAGAGAGAGAAATATTTTTTTATAAAAGGTAAAATGAAACAAATATGATCAATTTTCTACGAAAACTACATTATCTGATGATCTAAGAATTAATTTTAAAAAATGAGAATCCTACCACTGCTGTGGGTTGTTAGTTTCAAATATGTATATTTGTATTTAATATTTTAGGTAAAAGTTCCCAACTGCGTGCCACCTGAGGTGAGCAGTGTTGCCGCTGCAGAAGAAACAAGAAATGACGGTTCAAGTGGCCGGCGTATTGTAATTGCATCAAGCGTCATGTCAGACGAGCGGGCGACTCGGTCTGCCGCTACGCTTTCCGCTCAGCTCATAAAACTGAGCTGTCTTATATCAACCTTGTTACACTTCATATCGTACTTTAACTTCTTGTTTATAATTCAGTGACACAATTTCACATCACATCACAAATTTGATTAATTTACGACACTGTAATATCAACTGTTGAAATTGGCTTTAGTACAAATTTTGTTTATTAAATGAATTCGGTACATGTTATTAATTATGAATTAGCTACACAATTTTGACATATGATATGATTGTGTTGTATAAATATGTGTACAGGGAACGAATTTAGATACACCTGGTGTTAATGTAAATAGATATTATGTAAATAAATATAAAATTATTAATACATAGTGTTTTATTTTTATAACACTTGAGCATAAAGCTGAAATTCTCTGTTCTATAAAAATAATACAAATTTTAATAACGTCAACAACAATTGCTATAAAATTAATATGGATTGAAGTTCTTCACTATAATCTTAATTTTCAGCATATCATATATTGAAACAAAACAATCTGAAACTCGGAAACAGTCTGAAACGAAGGGAACCTGAGCTAAAAGAAAGATATATTTAGAGAGATCTGATTGAAGTTGATATCTATAGAAACAGTAATTAATTAATACGACGTTCATAATTAAATAGTTTACATAGTCATTAGCTACGTTTATCAATTATTCAAGTAATCAATTTAATGAGCAATCAGTCATTCGCAATCTTGAACATACAAATTTGTCATAATACTATTAATTGGCATATATTGAGACACGGCATATTAATTGCTGTTCTATAACAAGCAATAACAGAGGAAGTATGTGACTTCTATATATTTAAATATAGACCTATTTACATACAAATATATATTAATAGAAAATTTAATCTTATTGAAATACGTAAAATCAATACAAATATCTACAAAGCATACTTTATAAATTGAGCGATATTTCTAGTTATTGGTAGGTGAAATCTACAAACATTAGATACTAGCTGTGCTAGCTGTTTAAATCGGTTCATCAACTAGGTTCATTTAAATCAGTGTTGGCGTATAAGCGCGACAGACTGACAGAGTTACTTTCAGGATTTATAATATTAAGTAAGGATAAACAGCTGCTAAATGGTAAATTAATATCTGTATATATTAAATCCATAAAAGGTATGCCTAAGTAATTTAATTTTCAATCTGTCACGGAAGTGAAAAAGACCAATTCAGCTTAACATCCCCTAGGAATCCACAACGCTGGTGTTAATTTACCAACTTGTCATTTTGCCGATTTCATCCGAGGTAAAATAAATATTTTATTTCAGATTGAAATATTGTTACTTATTCATTTTTACTTGCTTACTTTTTACTTACAACGTCATCCGTGTGAATTTATATATCTCATAAAATGGCTATGTTCTTCTCTTATATACTTAATTATTATCTTAAACATTATATAATAATTTTAGCTAGATTTATATAACTAGACAATTCATTCTGTTTAATAACAGAATGAATTGTCTAGTTATATAAATATCGAGTCTTGGAAAATATGAGAAGTATAAAAATATATACATATATAACTAGCCTTCAACCTCGACTTCATCTGTATTTTCAGATAAAACTTATATACCAGTGATATACCTAACCTTATGACAAATTTCATTAATATCTGTTCAGTCATTTAGTCGTGAAAAGGTAAGAAACAGACTGATACACATACTTTTGCATTTATTATATTTGTATGAATATATTCTACTAGCTATATCTGGTAAATGAAGCATTTAAAAAAAGCTTGCTTAAGCAAGAAGTATTATTTTACTAATGAGAGATTTTTTCAATTCAACAAATTCCTTATCATTAACCGCTTTCGTTATTTAGGTTGGATCAGGCAGTTTCTTTAGGAATCATTGTGCAAAATTACTGTTTCTAAATATAATAGACTATATTATTGATCAATTACTGAGTTTTAAATTCAATATGTCGACATTCATGCCATACCAACAGTTAACATAATTTTACGTACTGTAATTGAAGAATAATATTTTTTCAGACAAATATAATATTTCCATTACATACAATTTAGTATCTCATTTCCTTTGTTTAAGTTATGTCTACTCATATGTCAATTTAATAATCTTGAGACTATTTACTATGTAAACTTAGAATATCGACCCTAACTCCTTTTGTAACTTAATTCAGTATATGTTAATACATATATCTACATGTTAGTAATAGGGTTGTTCGTGCCAACACAATTGTCACTTACTGAAATAGCTCCCGACACCCGCGTCTTTGTGAACTACATTCCGTGCTTTGTTCCCAAGTGGAGTGCTTTTAACGCTGTGACAAATACAGTAGGTAGACAGATATTTGTGATTTATGGTAATATTAATTACAAAATATTGAAAACAAGAAAATTAGGTTCTATGGTATAATAAGATAATGAAAAATACATAGGTATGAAAGTCGTATTTTTTTATTTCCTATCAAACCAAAGTGAAGGTACTGTATTATAGTGACATTTTAATTAAGTAACATAAATAGTTATTAATATTAATGAATGATATTTAGTTAAAAAATAAATTTCAAGCAAAGTGATATCGTGACAATTCAAAGTAAAGTGAATTACGGTTACTCCGTTTTCTAAGGGTAGGTAATTCTAACAACCAATGTTTTCGGTTCTATTGAGTGATAGTGCATGTACAAACAGTGATGAGAACATTTTTTATATGTACGTATAGATTTTATATGATATACAGATTGCATTGCAATAAATAGTTTGTTACATTTCAAAAACAAAATTAACAAAGCTTTGCGGTTCGTGGTTTAAATATAGCCAACATCAAATAATTTGTGTCAATTAAAATTTCCAACTATTTTTCCAGTGATAATAAACTCTGGTAACACAAATAACATAGGATCCAATATACCGTATAACATTTTTTGGAAAAAGTGGGCCATATGCGCTATACAAAACAAAAATTCTTTACGCATTCAAGTTATTACGCAACAACAAAATCTATCGTTAAATGTTAGTAACAAAATTTTTTATAATAATATAACATATTTTTTATATTAATATTAATCGAATAATCTTCATGTTATACTTTTCCGCTGGGTAGGCAAAGTCATCCGATATAGATTAAATTAATCGAATAGACGTTGGTAGGTTCGTCCACTGCAGGCATGATAAGTTCACGTTGTCATCAAATCTGAATAATATTTCCTATTGTTCTAACTGGGAATCAACTGGAGGCATATATTTACGGACTTACTGTATTCTAATAATAATAACATTCTTGGATAATTCACACAGCACCTAGTTGCATGCTAAACAGAGTGTGTGTTATGGGTACTAGACAGCTGTTAATATATCATTAAGATAATATATATTTGTTTTAAATATATACATAATATCCGTTGAAAACACCCCAATTAATAATACTCATGAATAAAAATATTTGTATGTGCAAGGAATTGAACCGCAATCACCGGAAGTAAAGTTTATACACCGAAATATATATCGGTTGCAGATCTGGTGATCTATATTACAAGTTCTAAAAAGTTAGTGACTATGTTAGACAGCAACTCTTCTCACAGAAATTATATGTCGAATTAGCGATATATTATCCAAAAGTACTAAATGTCTTTCTCTTGAATGTTTGTAAAAAGAAATAACTAAAGTATTATTATCACTGTGTAATATTATCTTATGATATCTTACTAATACTATGTCATGTACGGCCTCGGTGCTCTAGCGGTGTAGCATACTGTTTTACTTCCGACGATCATGTGTTCATATCTCGTAGGGTACAAATATTTTTATTCATAAGTATAATTGTTTTATTTATGCATTTGCAACAATATGTATTTAAATATTTCTATTTTGTTTATAATAATACTATTTTATATAATACAAGCTTTACTAAGCTTTGGACTAGATGGCAATATGTGAATTGTCATAGCTTATTATTATTGTTAGTATATATGTTTATATCCACAATATTACGGATTGCGGCAGTAACTCTACCACTTGAGTGCTATAACAGAAGCCGCTATATATTAGTCCCACTAGCACCATTTGTGGAGAAAACCTCATAATGGTTATAGCCATCGCACGTACAAGAGAATTAGGTACTTTTATATCTAAAGGTCATAAAATTAACAGCACCCGGAAATAAAATAATTCTTCTCTCGTCGTGATGTCATAATTAACAATTCGATTAAATGATAAATGGGTATTATTATCTTTTTATTCATTTATTATTATTTGTAAAACTGTATTGAACAAATATAGAAAGGACAGGATAAATTGATGTATCATATTGTATACAAATCAATTCATTAAAATAAATACAATAGAAATTCAGAAGCAAGAAGAATTAAATAAATTATTATTTAAAATATGAAAAAAATCAAATTTACAATATATATAATTATTTAAATACAATTATTGATATTGTCTTAATATTTAATTTAGATTATAATGTTAATTTACTTAAGGGACTAGAATAATTAGTAATATAGACTTGATGTAAAAATCTTATAATTTTCTGTCTACAAAAATGTTACAATATTATGTGGTTTTAATATATTTTTATATTCACAAAGCAAACTCCAGGTACCTGACCTTTGTACCCCGGGTAGTAATGTAATTAGTTGGGATTAAAGGCGTAACGTTCATATTTAATTTTCTAAAAAACCTGCAGACTAGTGTAGACACCTTTTCATGTTCAAACAAGAGACAATAATATTTTCTATTTTAATGAAAACTATGACATTTAATTAAAATATCGTGATTAACATGTGCAAGATAAATATTATAGTCGGCTGGCTGTCTAGATAAATTGTACGTTTATCTCTATTTATTGGCATATATAGAGACACGGCGTATTAATTACTGTTCTATAATAAGAAATAACAGAGGAGGTTCGTTACTTGTGTATTTAAATATAGAGATCTATATTTATTTTCTACTTATAAATATTAGATATAAATCGCTGCTACATGGTAATGGCTAGCTAGATAAAGTGTACATTTATCTCAAAAATATTCCCCGTATTTTTTTTAACTAATGATGTTATGGGCACGGTGCACATTGTGAATGAAACTATTTTTACATTCATGAAAACCGTAATTTACATACGTACACGCACACGAAATACCAAACAACAAATATTATTAAATAATCTAAAATACTATTAGTTAAACCAATTTACATTTGGAAGTAATAACTACATAAACAATTATTGTACATTAACAATAACAATTTTTATACCAATACTCATTATAATAAATCATTATCGTCCCACTATTAGAT